TTACAGAGCTCTTCTTACAGGGGCTACTGTCAGCTCTAGGAGGATGGGCTACATTAGGGGTGTGTCGCCCAGGGCTCTTTTTGTAGCAGGAACTCCTTTGCATATCAGGCGACACACCCCTCATGTAGCCAATCCTCCAAAAGCTTACAGAGCTCTTCTTACAGGGGCTACTGTCAGCTCTTGGAGGATTGGCTACAATGGAGGTGTGTCGCCTAATATGCAAAGGAGCTCACACTTACCTTCCTTATCCCGCCTCACCGCGCCGCGCAATCACATCGATCCCTGGCGTCTACACTACTGACGCGCGGGAGTGTGTGTTGACATTTTTTAAATTTTTCCCCTCAGTTTGCGCATGTGCATAGGCGCTCATTCGTAGAATGGGGGGGGAACTATCATGGCGCATGCGCAGAACCACAAGGGCGAATGAATCCAACCCCTCCAATAAAAGACTTCCCTTTAAACTTTTGACCTGAAAATGGCCTCCGTGAGATCCCGAACTCATCTAAACGCTAAAACGAGTGACTGTTTAAATGTGGGTTTTCTAAACGTGGTGGCGGAGCTCCGCCTATGCACGCACCGCCAATGCATTAAAAAAAATGGTGGGGGAGAAGTGGAAGCCTCGGGCAGCTTTTGAGTGGGGAGGGGATTTAAACCGGAAGTGGCGATCAGACGTCAGAAAAGTGCGGCTAGAACCGGAGAATCAGGAAAACACCACTTGGGGACCTGGTAACAAAATACTCCATTTTAAAGGGGGTTTGAGCCGGAAAGCGACGGCTGGGGACGGTGCGCAGATGTTGGGTGTGTGAACGTGGATATAAGATCCATTACTGAAGCGTGCCGAAAGCGGACTAAACTAAGCGGTCTGAACGCACCCTTAGATATTCATTTGCTAGTGTGACCTATTTATTGCTTTACAACTGGTGCCCTTATCACCTTAACTTATTTAGTGTCACTTTGCAAATCTTGATCATCATGTCAACATGTTAATTTCCTGTTCATTCTCTGGCTAGAAGTTTGAACCTTGACTGCCATTCCAATGCATTTGAAAAAGCGTGCGTGCACACGGAAGCTCGCACCTTGAATAAACCTCTGTCGGTCTTAAAGGTGCAGCTGGACTCTAAATTGGTTCTGCTGCTTCAGAGCAACACGGCCGACCACCTGGATCTACATACATCCAGCCGTTCCTAAGAAATGAAACTGCTGCATTTCAAGCATCCTAGTTCAACTCCCGTCAGGAAGCCATTCATCTCTCTCCCCGTTTAGACAAAAAAAGGAATGCATTCACGCCTTGGGCAACACCACAGAGTTACCATTGATATATGTTTATGTGTTTTTGAGATTTAGAACTTGGAACAGTATTTTTAATTGTTTTAATTGGGAGTCCCCAACATGGCGCCCCCGGGCACCATCGCTAAATCTCTAAACACGTACTTAGAGCATCCTTTACCTCTCTACGGTTTCAATCAATGCCAACAGCAATTTTGGAGGGATGATTCGATCAAAATCTGCTGGCCCATCGTCTATGTATTTGTGGTACCCACAAACTTGAGGATGTACCTCACTGTATTCTCTTTTGCCCATTGTATTGTAGTCCGAGGGCTAAATTTTTAGCAGGTGTTTTATCTGGTCTTAGTGCCTACCCAGTTGAGGGGGAAAAAAATCATTTTTGTTATCTGACATTGATGCATATGTCTCTTATAAAGTTTCATTATTTGCCCTTGCTGCAAAGAATATACGTTCCAAGGTGGCATTGAGAAGGGGCATTATTTAGGCTACTAAACTAAATTAGTCATATTTTGTTACTGATCTCTGGTATTTTTGTATATTCTGACTCTTAACCTAGAGCTTCTTCACAATGTGTGCTTTGTAACGGCCAATGGCTAATTACAATAAACGAAACTGAACTGTTTTTAGAAATTGGGTGGGGTCCAGAGGGCCTCCTGATAGGCCACTGGAGATTGGTTAGCTGTTCAACACGGCACAAAAATCTTCAGTGTGTGACTGAAGGTAAGCTGCGGACGTAGAGTGGCCAGCGCTGGGTCAGGAAACACCTGGAGATTTTGGGGGTGGAGCAAGCCCGTAGCTAACGTGAGGCCCATGGAACCCAGAACCCTAGCGTTTCTCCTGGGTCCTCACCTTCCCGGGCTGGCCCCAAATTGCATGAATGTAATTAGATGAAGAAATTGGATTTATAACCCTGTGGTTAAGTGCGCGGACTCTAATCTGGGAGAACCGGGTTTGATTCCTCACTCCTCCACTTGCACCTGCTGGTGTGACCTTGGGTCAGTCACTAGCTCTGGCAGAGCTGTCCTTGAAAAAGAGCAGTTTGTGTCAGAGCTCTCTCAGCCCCACCCACCTCACAGGGTGTCTGTTGTGGGGAGGGGGAGGGAAAGGAGTTTGTAAGCCGCTCTGAGACTCCAAGTGAAGGGCGGGGTATAAATCCAATCTCTTCTTCTTCTTCTACCCTTTCCCTTCCCCTCCCCACAACAGATGAACTGTGAGGCAGGTGGGGCTGAGAGAGCTCTTTCAAGAACTGCCCTTGAGAGAACAGCTGAGAGAACTTGTGACAGACCAAAGGTCATGCCAGCAGCTGCATGTGGAGGAGTGGGGAATCAAACCCGGTTCTCCCAGATTGGAGTCCGCCTAGGATCCATTAGAAGCTTAGCAGCGTACTTATGCCTGAACACTTACTGAGATCAGCATCCTATCTGAATGTATTATCATCCATGACTTGTTCTAAAGCACTTTATGAACAAGAGAACTTTTGTATTACTTTCACATTTCCTGAGGAAGAGCCAATTTTGAAACGTTGTTATATAATCCGGAGACGACGTTGATTAGGATTTTCTTATGATTTGTAGGAATTGATTTATTGTGTTGTAGTGCTTCAGACTGTAATACATAGTAAGCATTTTCTTTGCAAGTCTTGTTGACTGCTCGATTTATGAGAAAGACACTCATGACTATCTTCTTTATACTTATTCTCTGATTAGGTTGTGTTTGTCCACATTTGTTTTCAGAAGGCAGTAATCCTAGTCCTATTATATTGCTTATGAAACGTCCATCCTACTGATTGCCTTGACTTACACTACATATTTTGCCTTAAGTCTCAGTGAGAAAACCTTACAAAAATAATGTAAATAATTATTCCTTCATCTACATTAATAATGCAACTTTTAGCAACTGGTGAAGAGAAGAAAAACGTTACTACAAATATTAAACCTTTATTCTATTAAACATAACTATTCAAGTTGTGAATAAACCAATAAGTGTGCATTGAGGTACAGAAACGTCTTCTCAGGTCTGTCTTCGAGGGTGCCACAAAATTACTGGATGGTCTTGTGGAATGGAGGTATGCAAAAATGAACATAGAAAAATTTAACAAGGGACAAACAAACATGAAAAGGCTGTGAATTTAAAGGACTTCATGAACTCTGCACTCAAGAGCGTCAAACTACGCAAACAGGTTTTCGTGTGCTAAATCTCGAGGCACGTTTTACAAAAATCAATTCCTCACTGCCAAGAGATTTTTAAAAAAACCAGCCCTGGCCAACTGTTTCCACATTTTCTTCCTACGGCAGCCCGATTTTATTGACCTTTGAAAAGAACGGCTTGCTCGGAAGGGCATACGGAAGCTTCTCTCTGCTGGAACTCTTCCTGTCAAACCCTGTTCAATTTTGTGACGATGAGGACTCGCACCGTCTGGTCAAAGGCACTGCAAACGCAGAGGCCCCTTTTGTCCGGGCTCCAGTCGAGGCTAGAAATAGGCTGCGTCGACAACGTCACGTTCTGCAGGAGGGTAACCGAACCGGCTACCCCCGTTTCTCTACCTTCCGAATCCTTCTTCGAGCGCTGGGCTGGATACTCGCTAGAAATGTAAAAACAAGCCCGGATTAGAAACCTATCCCAGGGACCCTTTTTAACGATACACCATTTTCACGGTAATGGTTCAAAAACAGAAAACGGGCAACATCAACAACTGCCTGTACACGTGGCCTTCTCCGCTGTGGCCCCACCTTATGGAGCGGCTGGCCTGATGTGGTCAACAAGGCTCTCGCCCGCCTAGATTTCCACCAACTATACAAAACCGAGTTATTCAAGAGGGGTTTTTTGCACAGATAATAGGGTTGCACTGTACAAAATGATTAACAAACTTGCTTGGATAAATAGTTAGGGGGCGGGGTGTCAAACATGCAGACCGGGGGCTGGATCAGGCCCCTGGAGGGCTTCTATCAGGCCCACAGTGGAACTGGCCGTCTCCTGCTTCTTCTTCCAGTTCTGCTGCTGCCGCGTCATCGTAGGTTTAAAACTTACAGATACACACCTGCATAGTCAAGATTGCAACACCACAGACATTTTGATGCAATAATTCAGAGCGAGAGGTGTGAGTTATCAGACACAGTTAAATAAACAAAATATTGCAAGAGTGCTAATGTTTTAGGCAGGTACTTATTTTAAGTTAAAAAAAAAAGCCCTTTGTGTTTGTGTTCTTTATAAACTTTATATCTCCGTTAGCTGGTATTACATCTTATGACACACGTGGCCCGGCCCAACAAGGTCTCATTTATGTCAGATCCGGCCCTCATAACAAATGAGTTCAATGCCCCTCAGTTAGGGGCGGTGGTCTATACTGCTGTGTATAACCTTACTGTAAGTAGGATCCTGTTATGTAATTTGTGCACTGCTTAATAGGTTTTATGCTGTGCTTCAGTTTTTTCTGGTGGTTCCAGAACAGGGATGGGCACGAACCGGGAAAATGTGGTTCTGTTTGTGGCCAAACCACGAGCCCAACCAAACCAGGTTTGTTCGTGAACCAAACCTGTTTGTGGCCCCACAAACCCCGGTCCCTTTCAACGGGGTTTGCATAAAGCCCGAAAAACAGCTCAGCGGTGGGGAACAGCCTGCTCCCCACTGCTCAGCTGTTTCAGGCTGTCTTGTGCAGTCCCTTTAAAGTTTCAAGGGGTTTAAAGATTCAAGGGACTGCAGAAGTCAGCTTGGAAAGCAGCTGAGCGGTGGGGAGCACCTCCTCACCACTCAGCTGTTTTTGCGGCTTTCGTGGGGAACAGAAAGCAGGGGTTTAAATGGGCCTTGAGTCTCTTTAAACCCCTGCCTTCTGCTCCATTCACAAACTGCCATGAACCGCTTTAAAAGTTCATGTAAGTTCGTGATGGTAGACCTGTCACAAAGTTCTGCTCACGAACCAAAAACAGGGCAAAATTCATGATGAATTCTGCTTCGTGGTTCGGGTTTGTGCCAACCCCATTCCAGACTTCTTAAGTCATAAGGAATTGCTTCCCGAATGTCCCATTTTGTTGACGCTACTGACGCACAATGTGTAATCCAACATTGGCTTCTCTTATGTTCTTATGTATGTACTAACATTCTAAAGATCCTAAATGCATTAAATTACATGTTTAATACATAATGCACAATCAGTTTTGGACGGTGGCTCTTTCTTCCTGATGGACGGAAGGTAGCAAGAAAATAACCTCCCTGTGAAAACAAGGTCGTTAAGCACCTAGAAAGCCTGTGTGGGCACACTGTACCAACTTAAGCAGAACCAAACACGAGAGTTGCGTACAACATTCACAGTTCTAAGAAGACATTTCTCTCTGTCAGGGATGAAGCCTACCTGGGCAGAGCCATCTTCAAAAATAGAGTTTTTAAACATGAACGTACAAGCTCCCCTGCACAGTATGCAGAACGGTACAGAGCTGAAGACGGGGGTCCCTGACATGTTGCCCGTGGCCACTGACCCCTTTTCTGGCGCCCACAAACTGTTTTTAGAAAGTGGGTGGGGCCAGGTGGGGCTTTTGCCCAGCGAGGCCTCTGATTGGCCACTGGAGATTTGATTGGCTGTGCAGATTTTTAAAAAAACGTCGATTTGGTAGCAGCTGCCGCCGCAGCGCAAAGGTCTTCCTTCTGTGACTGAAGGTAAGTGGGGGCAACCATTTTGTTGCTGGCTCCGCCTCCAGCGGAAGCCGTTTCCTGGCAGCCATTTTGTGGCTGCGCCCACCACGCTGTGTCAGAATTCCAGAGGTGGCCACAGGCTCAAAAATATTGGAAACAGCAGAGATTTATTTATTTATTAGATTTATATCCCGCCCTTCCCAGATGGGCTCAGGGCGGCTTCCAACAGTGGCAAATGCCATAACAAACAGTTAAAACAGTATAAAACAATCAATAAATAAAGTGCGGTGCTCTAGATATTAACTTATCTCTCCAAGATGGGATCCTTTTATGGACTATTTAACATCAACTTTGAGGGGACACGGCGAAGATTTTGAGAATACGTGGTCAAGGTTTTACAAACGGCTAGAATACAATACATAAAACTATCGGACACATGACACAAAAGGAAATTAAAAATATACTATTAAGTGTAAGCAAAAGGTATATATGAAAACTATAAGGTGGGGGGAAAATTAATGAATGTACTCAGCTATCGTATGAGGTCACCGAATAGACTGAATAATGAGTTAAAGGGATCTCCCTATATTTGTATCCCTGGCTGTGATCACACACACTCAATAATCCCCTTTCAATGCACTTTACAACTGGATTTTTACTGTGTGAACTGGCAAAATCCAGTTTGAACGTGGATTATTTAGTGTGTGTGATCGCAGCCCCTGTATGTTTGTGTTTGTTTGTTTCATAATAAATAAAAAATTATATATATATATAAATAAAAAGGTTGGGAACCCCTCATTTACATCATTCAAGGAAGGGCCACTTTTGCTCTCCCTCCTACCCCGGACCGTGAGCATAAATACTTACTATTTCCAAAGATGAAGGTTTCCAGCTCCTCCGCTCGTCAGAAAGATGTCCCTGTTCTGCGGGAGGTGCCGAACTTGCCACATGGTGGCTTTGTGTGCCTGACAGACATAAAGAGTTGCATAAAGTTTCCCAGTCGACAAGGTCGACAACGAACAGAACGGTTCTGTGCCCGGGCAAATCAGGGAGGGCTTCTATTTCCACGTGCTTTCTGTAGGAAGTAAGAAGTCCATCCACAAACAACCGCTGTAGTTACAGTCCTTTGTTTACACAATACAGCGGCCTGAACACTTACCCTATGAGGAAAGGTTAAGGCGCTTAGGGCTCTTTAGCTTGGAGAAACGACGACTGAGGGGTGACATGATTGAGGTTCATAAGATTATGCATGGGATAGAGCAGGTAGAGAAAGAGGTACTTTTCTCCCTTTCTCACAATACGAGAACTCGTGGGCACTCCATGAAATTGCTGAGCGGTCGGGTTAGAACGGATAAGAGGAAGTCCTTCTTCACCCGAAGAGTGATTAACACATGGAATTCACTGCCACAGGAGGTGGTGGCGGCTACAAGCATGGACGGCTTCAAGAGGGAATTAGATAAGCATATGGAGCAGAGGTCCATCAGTGGCTATTAGCCACAAGGGATAGATAGGGGCTCTGGGGCAAGTGATGCTCTGTCTTCTTGGTGCTTGGGGGGGGGGAGGGGGAACAGTGGGAGGGCTTCTAGTGTCCTGGCCCCACTGGTGGACCTCCTGATGGCACCTGGTATTTCTGGCCACTGTGTGACACAGAGTGTTGGACTGGATGGGCCTTTGGCTTGATCCAACATCTGACTTCTCTTATGTTCTTATGTTCTGAACAGTCTGACCTCGTCAGAGCTTGGAAGCTAAGCAGGGTCGGCCATGGTTAGTACTTGGATGGGAGACTGCCGGGAAGACAGGGATGGGCCATGCCGAGGGAAGCAAGATAGCAAACCACCGCTGCTCATCTCTCGCTTTGAAAACCCCACGGTTCTGGGGTCGCCACGAATAGGTTGCAACCTGATGCCCCACTACTGATGGCTCTCTCTAAGCGTTTGAAGGGCGGTCCCTTAGAGGAGGGCAGGGAGCGGTTCCTGTGGGCAGCAGAGGATTAGGAACTCCCAGGGGTCGCTTTGTAGAAAAAGACGTGCAGGAGCTCCTTAACATAGCTCATTAGCATAACTCATTTGCATATGCCACCCCTGGCTGCTTCTTGCTCTGACTGAGGGCTGCTGGGAGCAGGGGGTGCGGCTTGTTGCATGTGCCCGCCCCCTGGGCCCTTTACTGCCGGAGCTCCACTCCTGCAGGAAATTACCCCTGGGAACTTGCATTCATGGGTTTAAATTAAGGGCGGAGAAGCACCGGCTGGGTATTAGTAAAACATTTTGACCAGAGTTTTGACCAGAGTTGTGCCACAGTGGAATCGGCTGCCTCGGGAGGTGGTGAGCTTCCCCTGCACTGGCAGTCTTTAAGCGGCGGCTGGACAAACACTGGTCAGGGATGCTCTCGGCTGATCCGGCAGTGAGCGGAGGGTCTTGGACTAGATGCCCTGTTAGGGCCCCTTTCAGCTCTGGGATTCCACGAGAAAAGGAGCGTATAGCTCTTGTCTCTTTGACGCCTCCTCCTGACCAAGCCCTGAGAGGAAAGGCTGAGGGACTTCTTGGGAATGTCCAGTCTGGAGAAGAGGAGGTTGAGGGTGGGACAGGATGGCTCTCTTGAAGCATCTGAAGGGCTGTCCTCTAGAGGAGGGCGGGGAGCTGTTCCGGTTGGCAGCAGAGGAGAGGACTCGCAAGAATGGGTTTCAATGAAGGGTGGGAAGGTACCGGCTGGATCTTAGGGAAAACGTTTTGACAGTCAGAGGTCCCTACCACACGAGGGACAAAAAGGACCAAAATAGGTACCCCCGGCAGTCTTCAAGCAGCGGCTGGACAGACATTCATCGGGGATGCTCTAGGCTGATCCTGCATTGAGCGGGGGTGGGACTAGACGGCCTGTATGGCCCCTTCCCTGAGATTTTATAGTTCCATTATTATTTTCACGGCACTGAGGACAGGTACTCACACATGTGGTGTCCCTTCTTCTGTCTAACCTTAAGCAGCAAAGAGCACCACTCAGTCTGGTGATCTCTCCACTGTGGTTGTCCCACACAAAGCGAAGGACCGCTCGGGCTCCACAGAGCTCTCCACTGACGGCAGAGCTCAGGGCCGAGGGGGTCTCATTTCACGCTGGGCAGAAGGGACAGATCCCGCCCTTCTCCAAAGTCCTCTGGCACATGAAGCTGGGGCTTTGTGGAAACCTTAAAGGGAACGCCACAACTATGCAGTGACTAAAAAGGACACAGGAGCTGCGGTGGCTCACTACCAAGGACACATCTCTGCACAACTCCGCCATTTTATTTGCTCCACTGACGGCATCGTCCACAGGGCCTCGTGGGTCAAACGTCAAGATCCGGACCAGATGTCAGGAGGAAATTGCTCAGAGGCTCGTGGTCCTGCAATGCTTCCCTCTAAGCTGCGGAGTCTTGTGAGCAGAAATTCTACTTTGTGAACTATTGGCATTAAAGTTGCGAGCGAGCAATTTGGCTACTGCATAAATTGGTTTGCTCTGGAGCCATCCCTTCCTGAGCAAAGACAAAAATGTGTGAGCTAAAAAGACTAAAAAACTGTGAGCTAGCTAACATCAACTCAGCTTAGCGGGAACACTAGTCTCAATGCTCCCTTCTAAGCTGTTCTACCTTGTGAGCTCCTGGCATTAAAGTTGCGAGTGAGTGATTTGGCTGCTGCATACATTAGTTTGCTCTGGAGCCATCCCTTCCTGAGCGGAGACAAAAAGGTGTGAACTGGAGGCTAAAAAACTGAGCTAGCTCACACTAACTCAGCTTAGAGGGAACCCTGGTCCTGGGTACTGCCTGCGAAAAACACTTCCTCCATGTGTACTTAATACTACCCCTTCTTCTCTCCGGCATGCAGTGGGAATGGAACCTCTCCCTTCATACTGATGAATAGCCCAGATTTTATACTGTACCTTTTCTGAAAGAGAAGCAAAACCTTTCGTTGGATGCTGAGTTCTCATGTCAAAAACATGGAACTTCCCTTCCAGGGACGTCGCCACCAGCTTGTTCATGTTTATATCTTTCCGGTCAAATTCCACACTGCAGACCTAGAAACACAAAATCAAGTATTAGATTTATACCCGCAGAGGAATCCTCTCTGCTCTAGTCTACAACTGTAACCCGGAACGATCTGTGCTGCTTGCGGTTGTGCTTTCGTTTTAAGGTGGAAACTTCTCTTTTGTGTGGTGTACAATAAAGTGTTCTTGCTGCTGGTACCAGACACGCCACACCATACGGTCTGGACGAACTGTTCTGCCAAACAAGGCCGGCCACAACGGAGGTCAAAGGGGGAGATGCGACAGAAACCCTAAAACCTGACGTGAGGGCTCAAGAGTGCCACCTAGAGTGCCTGGGACCTTAGACACCTGGGGCCTCCATCAGAAAAACCCCTTCATTTCCATTCCACACTGGACCGTTCTGACAAATTGGCGGGCCCTGCTGTGGCCACCAAACCAAGGGCCTCTGAAACGAGGGCTCTGTTATGACTACGAACATGTCCTTCAACCCCATTTCAAAAACCAAAGAGTACAAGGGTATAAGAACATCACAGAAGCCATGTTGGATCAGGCCAGTGGCCCATCCAGCCCAACACTCTGTGTCACACAGTGGCCAAAAATACCAGGTGCCATCAGGAGGTCCACCAGCAAGGCCAGAACTCCAGAAGCCCTCCCACTCTTGCCCCCCAAGCACAAAGAATACACAGCACCACTTCCCCAGACATAAGAACATAAGAGACGCCAATGTTACTTGCCCCAGACTGAGAGTTTCTATCTATACCTTGTGGCTAATAGCCACTGGTGGACCTCTGCTCCATATGTTTATCCAATCCCCACTTGAAGCTGTCTATGCTTGTAGCCGCCACCACTTCCTGCGAATTCCATGTTAGTCATTCTTTGGATGATGAAGTACGTCCTTTGATCTGCTCTAAGCTTACTGCTCACGAATTTCATTGAGTACACACAAGTTATTGTATTGTGAGAAAGGCAGAAAAGATAAAATAGGTAAAAGGAAGTCCTTCTTCACCCAAACAGTGATTAACACATGGAATTCACTGCCACAGGAGGTGGCGGCGACTACAAGCATGGACGGCTTCAAGAGGGAACTGGATAAACATATGGAGCAGAGGTCCATCAGTGGCTGTTAGCCACAAGGTATAGACAGGAACTCACAGGCTGGGGCAGGTGATGCTCTGTCTTCTTGGTGCTTGGGGGGGGGGGGCAACAGGGGGGGGGTTTTTG